GGGGGGATGGGGGGGTCGAGCTAGGCTGAAAGCCTCGTCAGCCCGCGACTTGCCTCACCGCTGTTGTGCAGCCGCGCTGGAGCTCTCTGGGCGCAGCACCGCCCGGGGCTGCCTCGCTTTGCCCGCTTCCTTAGCCATAAGGTCCGCGGTTGCCGGCGCTTGCTGGAGTTTCAGGCTAGCCGCTTCTGGTGGGATGAAAGCGGGACTCTCGAATGCGTTTCAACAGGTTTGTTGCCTGGATCGCTGCCTGGAACCCAGCAGCATAAAGCCGCCCTAGTTCTATTTATCATTCATTTAAGCTTCTTTTATCCCGCTTCGATCCGTTCCGACCCTCTACTCTCATCATGGCTGACCAAACACCGTACGGTACTTCCACGGCGCTGCACTGGGTTTGAACTCCATAAAATTAAGGTCTTTTCCGGTTAATTTCTCTCATCGGAAATACTGCGCAGCAGCTTTTCATAAGTATTGCTTCTGTTATTGCTACCTGCTTAAGAGAATGTACAGGCTGAAGCTTGTTTCCTTTTTGTTACTGCTGCCCTTCAGGGCAGCTTTATTGTGGGGAGGGGACTGTTCCCCCCCCCTCTCGCCTTTGCCGACAGGTTTTCTGGAAACTTTAACTTCGGTTCTTAAAGCAGATGAAAACTGTTACAGCTGAGTAGCCTGAATAGGAAACACAAAACTGGCTGAAGAGGTTCTAGAAGGAAGGAGGCTCCAGTTTGTAACAGCTGTTAGTCTCTTAGTTAGTCTCTTAGTTGAATACCTGCATGGTCAATGTAAAGAATTATTCTAGGGGAAGCCAGACCCTTGCTCTATCCTGTTCTGGAGATGGGGGAAACATTTGATGAACAATTTATTTCTTAAAGTTTCACACATTGGCATTGGACAACATATCATAAAGCCTGTAAACTGTTGCTGCGTTTTAAGATGATAAGCTTATGCATTCTTTCATAGTCCCCAGTTTTGTAGGAGTCATTCCCCCCCATCTAAACCTGAGCGTGCCCAGAATTGAGCTCTAACTATATCTGGTGACTCTTGTGTTCTGGCTCTCTTCTGATGTCATTTTGGATGCCAGACTAATAAAGCTGAAAATGGAAGGCCAAGCAGAGTCATAAAAGTATCCATTTACATCTGAGTCCTGGTTTGAGTTAAAGGACTGTTTATGGTTATCCACACATACTGTTGGATTTGTTTATCAAGTTGAATGTCTGCTGTCTTCCATTGTTGTCACGTGGCAGCAGAGATCTGAATAGTTTGGTATCTCTGAAATGCTGGGATTAGAATTATTATAATCCTATTTTGTTAATCTTATCAGTGGATCTTTGCCAATGGATGGAGATAATTAGTTTATCCCTGCATGGCTGAAGCTACAGTTCACATTCGGGCAGGCTGCGTATAGATGGTGCTGTCTGGATGCTGACTATGGCTAGATAGTTTTAATGTACAGAAGGATCCTCTCGATAGTCTTTTGTAGCACAGATTGATTGATGTGGCATCGTAATGCTGTACGGTAGAAGCTTTTGTGAGCTTAGGATCTTTAGGAAACTGCTAAACAGGCTTTCATCTCATGAGGCCCCGAAGGCAGAAATACACAGAAGGGTAGTGGTGATTCATTTGTCCTCAGCCTGGAGCGGTTCTGTATAAAGAGAGTTGAGTAAGTAGCAGTAGCAAGAGATTAGCAATGGATTTAAACCTGGGCGAACCCCTCTATGTGCATCCTGTATGTGGCCGCCTCTAAGACATTTTGAATCCCCTGAAAGACTGCCATAGGTTTAAAGGCCATGGGTTTAAAGGCCAAACATTTTGCTCTGTGCTGTATGATCCACAGTTTGTTTTAATGCATATTTCCCTATGCGGTGAGAAGAATTTAGGTCAACCAGTCCCAGGTTTGCAGATATATTCAGGTACCATCCATTTGCTTGCCATGCCAACGGTCCCACCCTGTTCCTCCATTACTGCAATCAGATGCTGCCCACGTGCCTGGGTGCTGCAAACTCATCAAGGGAAGGAAAACTGCTTGGCCAGGCAACCTTTCCTTCTCTCCCTCTGCCTGTTGCCTACCTGAGGAGCTCCTCCTGCTCATCTGGATGGCTACAACAGCTTCTTTTGTTCCAGCAACCCCATCCTTCTTCCCTGCTGCCATAGGCAAGCTGGACGCACCCTGTTCTTCGTTGCCTTTCTTTGCTAATCTACCATTTCGAGGTCTCCAGGATCTCTGAAAAAAAGCTGTCTGGCTTCTTAGCATGGAAGTTTAGAAATACAGGAAATTATTATAGGATAAAGGGGCAACTTGAGTTCTGGAATAAATATGTTGCAGTTAATTCCAGATAAAAGTGGAGATGTTACCATCTCTATTTTGACTGAATTTGCTTCTGGACGGTGTCTTTTTAGGATATACGATTACAGCCTGCAAATAGGAAAACTAGTATTATGGGGGTGGGGTCTGAGGGAAGCCAAGAGGGAATCCTCTGACACTTAGCATTCTGTGTGGTATTTCAGTGTTTTGTTTGGTTACATACACTTTGTTTTACATTTGGTCATGCAAAACTTCACCTGTATCTGAAGCAGAATTCCAGAACCAAGTTTTGCCATCTCATTTACTGTTTGAGAAACGGATCACAAAGCTATTTCCTTCTTTAGCCAAGTTTCTTTGGCTCGGTTTTATGATTCCTTGAAAGCACAGGCACTATTGAAATAAAGTGTCCAGTACCCTAGGGAACTACATTCCTTCTCTTCTCTTCTAATTATTTGAACCAAGCTACAGGTTTAGTGCAGTATGTCTTATCTCTTGTGCCATTGAAATCTCTAACCTGCTATCAGCATTTATCAAGGTACATGTGACTTCAGATACTTGTTAGTAGCTGAATAGGTTATGTTTACCAGATTAATAATTGACTTTAAATTCCCTAAGAAGATGAGAAGATGTGTTTTACCCAGTTAGGACTACATTGAGCAATATTGAGCAATTTTCTTTCTGGATAAAATTATTTGCTCTTCTTTCATTCTTACATCTGAACGGTAAACAAAAATGCTTTTATTAGGCTTCGGTACATCTCTTATCAACTGTGTAGACTTTGCAAAAATTTCTTTTAGGCAAACATCATCATCACTGGCTTCAAATTTGGTTTGTCTTACCCTAGAAAGTTAATGCTGTTGACAACATTTGCTGTCTAGACTTGAGCTTAGTTTACTTCATTGATTTTACTGTTGACGTAATTTCAGCAACACATGATTGAAATGGAAGGAGTCATCCATGTGCGGTATGTTTTGGTGTGCAGCAGGTTGGTTCACTGGCAAGCAAGGCATTTGTATTGAGGGGATTTTGGCATCAATTATATATTCAACCCCATGAGCAGAATTGGCTATACTCGCTGGAGGCAGTACTCTGTTCTGAAGGCGTTTGTCACACTGCAGCTATGCCCGCTTTCATGAACTCTGACTGTAGTGTGGAGTGGTACATGAAGAACAACACAGTCACCTGTGATGCCAATATATAATCGGCTGCAGCATTTTGGATGCAGAGGCAAAAGGGCACTTTACAGTGTACAGGGGTGCAAATATAGCACCTGTCTGCAACTTTTTAAAGCAAAGATGGGTTTTCCAGAAATTGCATGGCAGCTGTAGAGGGAAGTTGCATAATCCTGGAGAAAGGCACCGTTGGTTTAATGAGTTGCAGGCAGATGCTAGGTTGGTGCCCTCATATGTTCTGAAGCACCTTTTGGTTTTGAATCTAAAGTACTGCACAGCCCTAATATATAACTAAACTAAATGTTTTGAATATATTGGTAAAATTCCTAAACTTCTTTCTTGCTTAAATCAGTAGCAATTAAACATACAGGAAAATGTGGGATAACAGAGTCAGGCGTGAACAGTAGCTTCATGTTAGTGGCAGAGAATTCTAGATCAAAGTTAGTGTGTTGATAGGCTCCTTAATTGTGCCAACTATTTCTACAATCCGTTCATTGTCCCTGCAGCAAAACCCTTCATAATTGACATAGAAACACAATAAAACATTCATTTAATTTTAGCAATAAAATGAGGTCTTTTAAAGGCTAAATAAAGTTATTGCTACTATATAAACCAGCCCCAGTTCTATTCTGAAGCAAGAAGTACTGGGGGTGGGAAGGAGAATTGCTATCATCTTTCTGGCAGGGAAAGAATGAACCGATTGTGTGAGAGTTCCTAGGAGTGTCTAAAATTAAGTAGTAGTAGATCCATGTTACAGTCTCTTAACAGTGCAAGGGACTGTTTGCCATATCTCTGTTACTCAGTGCAGAGATAGATGAAGTGTTTTCATTTTATGAACTCTTACACTGTTTCAAACTTAAACTACTGCTGTGTCTTCGCTTATTATGCTGCCGTGCTGACAATAGTGTTTTGTCTTGCTTTCAACCTATACTGGCTATCTTGAATCAAAGTCCCCCTCCTTTTGTGATGGAATAGATCTAGGTGTGCTTATTGTTAGCTTGATTAAGCAATAGTAGCAGGGAGATGCAGTTAAAGGACCGCTTCGGAGTGGCAAACAGTGGTGTTTACATTTGGATTAGTATTAATCAGGAGCAGGGCTGATCAAGACGGCACTCCAAACATACACACAAACATAGCCACCAGACACAACGGGAAAGGCCATAATGTGCAGACTTTATGGTATGTAAACGTACTTGGATTTTTGTTGTTTTATTTTCTATGTCATTTCAGACAATGACAATGATTTGTTCTAATTAGGAAGTGTACATGGAGTACTGATTGATGAGGAAATACAGAAAAATAGTTTTCTGGAAATAAGTAATCCTTACTCTTTTCCACTTGCAAGCAAAACATCAACAATGGTCAAGTGTGCCCCAGGTTTGGATATCTGAAAAAGAAATGCTACATTAAACACTGTTAAGATAAGGTTAGCTATTTCAGTGGGGAGAGGAGGAGGAGGACAAAGCAGTTTACACGCTGAGAACTTCTTCAAGAACCAGATCCCAGCCAGTTGCTTGGAAAAGTGACCTGAATAAAATGCTTTTGCCTGAAATAAGGTAGAAATAAGTTTCTTTGGGATTTACTGTAGAACGTGAGCAACTGCTGTCACGGAGCTTTCCCCAGCTGTTACACAACTGTTTCACAGTGTAAATCTGCATTCTCTTCCAACTTAACCCTCTTAACATTTGTACTTCTCTGGTTAGAACTGGAGTGTTAGTGGATCCACTGCATATTTTTTAAACATATTAACAGCTACTT